CGTAAACTTAGCATCACGATCATAAACAATAGTAATAGGAACAACATGTAAACAAACAATTTCCCTAAAGAATAGGCTTTACACATGTGAGGCATCTGATGTCTTACTATAAGGAATAAAGTGGACCATTTTTGAGAACCTATCTACCACAACATAAATTGAATCGCGATCCCTTATTGTCTTGGACAGACCTAGGACAAAATCCATAGAGAGGTCTTGCCAAGGCTCATGTAGAATTGGTAAAGGGGTGTGCAACTCTGTATTTTCTTTCTCCTTTTTGCCGATAAAAGCGATCTTCTACCATAACAACGGTCTTGTCCCGACCAAAATGCCTAGCAATTCCACTTGCATGTAACTCCCATATAACATAATCATGTAGTGAGGCGTTAGGAACACACAAGCAAGTTCCATTGAACAAATAACCATCATGGATGGAAAAGCCAGGATATTCAGATTGCTGTCCAGCTTGTAAAGAACCATAAATGATGCTGAAATCCTTGCAACCATCATAATCTTGTTTCAAATGATCGAACCCCACAATCTGTACAGACATAGAATGAAATATATACATCACCCAGCTCAATGCATCGGCTACTCGGTTCTCGGCACCAATTGTATACTTAATCACAAAGTTATATTCTGCTAAAAATTCAGCCCATTTCTGATGTCAACTACTAAGATGCTTATGAGATTTGAGATATTTGAGTGCCTCATGATCTAAATACAAAACAAACTCTTGGGAAATTAAACAATGACACCAATGTCGAAAACATTGCACCACAACATAGAATTCTTTGTCATATGTGGAGTACTTTTGTCTAGCTTCATTAAGTTTTTCATTGTGAAAAGCTATAGGATGTCCTTCTTGCATAAGCACACCACCTATTCCAACTTGGGAAGCATCACAAAACACCTCAAAGATTTTTGAAAAGTTGGGCAAATGTAACACTGGGGTCTCGGTCATCCTTTGCTTGATCGTTTCAAAAGCTTTAGTTGCAGCCTTGGACCAAACAAATTCCCCCTTTTTCATAGCTTTTGTAATTGGTGCCATAATAGTGCTGAAATTCCTTATGAAACGTCTATAAAAAGTAGCCAATCCATGAAAGCTTCTCACTTCATGGATGCTAGTGGGAGTGGGCCAATCAAGTATAGATTTCACCTTGTTAGGATTAGCCTTGACACCTTCAAAGGATATAACAAATCCTAAAAAGATAACACTAGGTATCATAAAAGAGCACTTCTTTAAGTTGATGTAGAGTTTTTCCTGGCATAAAACTCTCATCACTTGACATAAATGGTCAAGATGATCCTCAGGAGTATGACTGTATATAAGAATGTCATCAAAGTAAACAACCAAGAAACGACCAATAAAAGGACGAAGTACTTGAGTCATAACTCTCATGAAAGTGCCAGGAGCATTAGTTAAGCCAAAAGGCATAACCAGCCACTCATAGAGGCCACCATTTGTCTTAAAAGAGGTTTTCCATTCATCTCCAAATCGAATCCTAATTTGGTGATATCCGCTTCTAAGATCAATCTTAGAGAAAATTGTAGCTCTACTCATCATATCCAACATGCCATCTAAGCGTGGAATTGGGAACCGATACTTGATTGTAATCTTGTTGATTGTTCTGCTATCAAAGCACATCCTCCATGAGCCATCATTCTTGGAAGTGAGTAGAGCCGGTACAACACATGGGCTGAGACTCTCTCTAATAAATCCCTTCTTCAATAGATCATCCACTTGCCTCTTCAACTCAGCATGTTCTATGGGATTCATCCGGTGTGCAGGCAAATTAGGTAGTTGAGACCCGGGAATCATGTTTATTGTATGTTGGAAACCACATAAAGGTGGTAATTCATCAGGCAACACTTATGGTATCAAATCTGAAAAATCAAGCCTTCAACCTCTTTTGGCATCTTTGAAATAGGGGCATGTGCTGGTTTATTCACTTCCTTCACTATTAGGGCATAAACAAGGTCTGGTTCTTTGCTTTCCTCCTCAAATTGCTTATTGGAAAACAAGAGAGGTTGCTTCTTTTGTTCAACTACTTGTTTCCGGGCTAGAGCTACCTTTTGAGGGGTCTTAGTTCGCTTCTTGATATCATCAGGTGACATAGGTTTCATAACAATTCTCTTTCCATTAAATAGAAAGTAATATGCATTCTCTCTCCCACAATGATATACATCCCTATCGTAAAGCCATGGTTGGCCTAATAGGATATGTGTAACATTCATAGGAATAACATCACACCAAATATCATCAACATAAGACCCATAGGAAATAGAAACAACAGCTCTTTGTTCTACCTAAAGTATCATCTTTTTGACCAATCAATCTTGTATGATTGAGGATGAGGTTGTGCAACTAGATTGAGCCTTTCAACAGTTGTTGTAAAAATCACATTCATGCTGCTACCACCATCAATTATTAGCTTGCAAAGCTTGTCTCCGCTCTTGACAAAGGTGAGGAAGATCGTTGTACGAAGCCAATATTCTTTCTTTTCTTCTTTAGAGGATGGTAAAACGTGTCTAATAACTCCAACAAAATTGTTGTCATCTTATTCTTCATGTTCAAACCCAGTGTACGCCTCCTCACCAAGGCCTCCTTCATCATCTTCCACTTGTCCTTCCTTCTCACACTCTATGTGTAGATTTTTATTAGGGCATTGAAATGCATAGTGGCCCTTTCCACCACACTTGAAACAAGTATTTTCTATTGTTCATCTTTTATTAGCATCAATCATGATGTTCTTCCCCTTATTATCAGCTCCCTGATACTTGGAACCATTAGACCTTACTGGAACTGAATTATGAGATGTAGGTCTAGTGACTCTACCCTTATCTAAACTCTTATGCACTGCTGCCTCCCTAGCTTGAACACCAAACCTCCTACTATTCACTTGCTTCAAGCTCTTCTCTATTTTAAGAGCCATCTGAAAAGCATCATCTACATCATAAACTCGTGCAGTCATCATTTCCCTTTGAATATCAACTCTTAAACCATTCCAAAATCGGGCTAATTTTTGCTTCTCACTTTCTGTAGACTGACATCTAATAGTAAGCTCATCAAACTTCTGCATGCACTCAGACACAGATAAGCTGCATTGCCTCAATGTCATCATCTCATCATGGAGAGCATCTTGGAAGTCATTAGGAAAATATTTCTCCTCCAAGTAAGCTTCATATCTTCCCAACTGGTGATAGGACACTTACCCATGTTCTGTAATCTACTCTCCACACTCCTCCACCATACTTTTGCATGGTCTACAAGTTTAAGTTTAGCAAATCTAACCTGTCTTTCATCTGACATATCGAACCAATCAAAGTATTCCTCTAGTTCTGCCAACCAATTGGAGAAAACTCGTGGATTGATACCACCTCTAAAACTAGGAACTTCTATCTTCACTTTACTAGTAATATCATCCTGATAGTCATTTATATTAGTTTTAGAATGCTCCGCCAAATCATCATATAAATCATTTAAAGTACCTTGAGTTTGTAGAGTTCGAGACTTTAGCGGCCTGATGGTAGTCCTTAGTGGGTGGTTCACATGTGGACCAGTAGAGTTATTGGTGTTAGAACCCTCTGCTTCAGCTCCTCCATGTGGAACACTGGTGCTGTTTTTCTCTTCTTGTTCTTCCATCAACACTTTGACTTGAGCCTCTAGGGTGTCCACTCAATTAATAAATGCAAGCAACAACTCTTCTTTAGCTTGTTCACATAACCTTCCTCTCATATTTCTACCATGGTAATGAGCCATTTGAAACCTGATGCTCTGATACCAAAACTGATGCAATAGGACTGGAACAAGCAAACACAAGACAAAAAGAGAGGATAGAAAGGATAGAGAAAGAGAAAAGAGAGAAATTCCAAGGAATCACATCAAGGGGTCATAGAATCACTCTAGGGTTTGTAGGAATCACTCCATACAACAAGAGAGCTCTTAAGAAATCTTCATTCATTCATTAGCTCCAAAAGGAAGAGAATACATCTATTTATAGAGTGAATTGTGTGGTCCGAAACACTGTTCACCATAATTACAAAATGTGCCACTCTTTGTCTTGTGCATCAAGAAACACAATAACTTTCTATCTATTAATGCAAATAAACTGAAAATTGAAAGTCAAGCACTACTAAGCTATAGGAACAAGATGCTATATCCCAAGTCCACATTCGGCTGGTCAAAATGATGAAAATGCCCCTGACCAGATCAGTCCAAGTTCCAAGAGTCTACATGCCAAATCAGAACCTGTTTGTTGGCCTTCTTCTTACGAGAATAGGCTTTATAATGCATGGACCAATCCCCATTAATCAATTGGCCTTTTCTGTTGTTGAGTTTAAATTTGTTGTTGCAACGAGTTGTAGTGGTGGTGATGAAACAGGGGAAGGGAATGAAAGAGAAGAAAGGAGAGAGAGAGAGAGAGAGAGTTCTAGAGATCTAGCGTTGCCACCCATCTCTTTCGGTTTGCCACTGTATGTAAAGAGGAAGGGGAGAATGAACAATAGGTTTTTCAAATTAGGTTAAATGTGAAAGAGACCAAGGGCTAAAAGGACATTTCATCTTTTTTGTTATGATTTAACGACAATAACAATTGTCAAAAATAGTAGGAGTGGTTTAAGACAATTGTTAAAGTAAGGGTATAGTTTGTCAATTATCTAAACAATAACAGTAGTTTAAGAAATTTACCCTATTTTAGAATAATTTTCCTTCATATTCACTATTATTTTTGACTTTTATTATATATATGTATATATTATTACATCAACGGTTCGACCTAACCCAGTTGAACCTCTAACCCGTGAATATAAAAACCATCACAATTTTTTTCTACAATTTTCAAGGTATAAACATGGCTGAGAAAAGGCCATGATACCAAACATACCCCCAACTTAAAGGGGTGAATAAATTAACAAAGAAACCCAGGGGAGTTTTAGAGATTGATCGGAACTACAGGGATTGAGATGTAATTTACGCTAACATGAATGTCCCTTTCTTCGGTCTCATGACTAAGCCAACAAGCTCATCAATCTGCTATCCTGCATCGATCGTATCAGAGTGGACGAACAATGAATCCTCGTCTGTGGCACAAAGTTGCTGCTATCTCTGGTTCCCTTTCTCTCTCTCTCTCTCTCTCTCTCTCTCTCTCTCTCTCTATTATGTCGTTCTTCTTGCTTTTTGATCTTTCAGAATTCCTTTTACCACCCAAGATGTAATTGCAGGAGTTGCAGCTCTTGGTCTCGGTACCTATGGAGCCCATGTCTTCAAGCCCCAAAACCCAGCTTACAAGGAAGTACTGTTTATTTTCTTTTCTTTTTTCAATTCTTTGTTTAATTATTTCCTTGCTGAATTCGTTTGCTTGCAAAAGAGCAATAGTTAAATCCCGTGAAATTAGATCTCCCTTGAACTAATATCAAACTTATCTCAAATTCGAAATATGATTTCTCCTTCTTTTTTTTTGTTTGATAACATTTTTATTGTTAATAATGGAAGGTTTGGCATACGGCATCTCTGTACCACTTGGTTCACACAGCGGCCTTAGTTGCAGCTCCTATCACCAAACACCCCAACATTGTGAGTACCCTTTCATTTTACTGCCTAATTTTCTTCAATAGTTTGTGAAATCCCGGCAACATTTTAACCATAGGTTATGTAGAAATGGCAAATCCGTGTTTTCATTTCTCTTAAGCTCTTTTTTCCCTCATCATGTTATGCAGTTTGGAGGACTTTTGACCTCTGGAATCCTAGCTTTTTCGGGGACGTAAGTGCCAATTTTTCCTTCTTTCTAAATGCATCAGTAAACAAGTTTAGTTTTCACTGTTTTTTCTCTTGCAAATTTGCGATTGTCTGATCCTTTGGATTTGTGATGACCGAAGGTAAAAATTGAATTTTAACATAAACAAATTCGATAAGCTTACTCGCTTTTTAAACTTGGATATTAAGGCTGCCATACTTTTAATTGATGCGTGTCTCACAAACTTGTTTTCTTAGCTCAAGTTCCTCTTGTTGTCTCTGTTGCCACTTCTGTTTAGTTTTCAAGCTTCTTCTGGTAAATGGTGGTTGAGTATTAATTGCTCTCCTTGGAGCTCTTTTTCTGGTGTTTAGTGGGAGACTTCCTTTCCGAGGTCTCTTATGGCTATAAACAGCTTGTGCGCCAAATAGAAATGTAGTATTTTTATGCGAGTTCTTTAGGCTTTTGCTCTTCATTGTGCCTCAATTGGAAGATTAAACCGATGTAACCTCATCAAACAATCCTATGCATGCCATGAACAGAGATTTTTCTTGAGAGCTTGTTTCTACAAAAGGAAATGGAATGTTCAAATCACCTAATCAGTCTAAGAGATCTTCTAGAAAGATCTTTTGATTGTATGGCATGCATGTTTGATAACCCCTCAAGGCCATATTCAAAATATTGCCTTAGTCTCCATCTACTAAAATTGCCACCAACATGGTTTGTTTTCTAATCTAAACTAGGCTTTGCTTACTTTAAGTAATAGGTGTTTTGACTATTCTTCTGGCTTAGTTTCCCGTTGCTTGCAGGTTAATATCAAGTTCCCTTTTTAAAATGATTCTACCTTTTCAAGATGGGCTATTATTCGTTTATGTAGAATTAATTTTAAGGGTTCAAAATTATTATATAGTATCTTTTTATTCAAGTTTAGTTAAAATATTATTTTATTATGTTTTATTTAATTAAAAGTTACGATTTACATATGAATATATACTTCTTATGTTGTATAGTTAGAAATATTTCATAATGGAAAATGAGAAGGAATGACTCATCTATAATAAAAGTGGCTGTTACACAATATTTGTCCCAGCTATCTAGGGTATTGGGAGGGATGGATTGGATGCAAACCTAACCTTTGGATCTTTTTTTTACCAGTACACCAATTTGATCCCCAATGAGATAAACTTAAGTGAAGAATGGGTTTAAGATAAAAGGATCATATTGAATCAAAATCTCTAGATAATGTCTATGTACATGTAAATTGAAAAGATAAAATATGTTGAAAATAATATAAAAGATATTAAAGCACTGGGAAATATGTTGTTTCAAATAATATTTCATGTTGGTATCCATTGAAATGGAAATATGTTGTAGAGGAAGGAAGGTTTAGAAGTGAAAAAGTGTGGGAAATCATTGAAAAAGTGTTTAAGGAAGTGGAAGGAAAATTGATTTGGAGGAGGGAAGGTGAGGGGCTAGTAGAGAGGAAGGAAAGGTTTGAGGGTAGAGATGGAGGGAAAGGAACAGGGAAGGAAGGAAGTAATAGGAGAGGGAGGTTGGATGGAGAGGAAAGAACAAAGGTGGGACCAGGGGAGAGGAAGAACGGGCAGATGGGCAGAGATGGAGGGGTTTCTGTAGGAAGGGTAGGGGTGGAGGACTCGGTGAGAGAAGACTTTCTAGTTGAATTTATAGAGAAGTTGGGTTGTAGGTCGGAAGATTTGAATGTGTTGAAAGAAAGTTTATAGAAGAGGAAGAAGGAGATCAGAACAAAGAAGAGGAGATTGAGTGAAGTAGAGAGATTGAAGAGAGATGTAGGAGACAACAATCTCGGGGTAAAAGGAGATAGGAGGAAAGGGGGAAAGTAGWGGAAGGTGGCAAGGGGTTTAAACAAGAAGTGGAATGAAGATCCTCAGTTGGAATGTGAGGGGAATTGGGAGTGCAAGGAAGAGAGCGACAATAAAAGAGGTAATAAAATGGTTTGACCCAGACATTGTGTTGTTGCAAGAGTTTAAGAGAATGGAGTTTAATAACAACTGGGCACGGAGTGTTTGGAAAGCTAGGGGGGTCAGTTGGGTGGCTACTCCCTCTTGGGGTACATCCGGGGGGATTGTAACAATGTGGAAGAGGGATGTGGTTGAAGGCCTGGAGGAGTTGATCGGAATGTTCTCGGTTTCCGTGAAGTTTAAGCAGCTTGAGGGTGATTTTACGTGGGTTCTCACAAATGTTTACGAACCGAATGACTACAGAAAGAGAAATGAGTTGTGGAAGGAATTGGCGGATGTTAGAGGGTTGTGGGATGGGCCCTGGTGCATGGGTGGGGACTTCAATGTGATTAGATTCTCGGAGAAATCCAATAAAGTTAACCAGAGAGTGACAAAAAGCATGAGGAAGTTTAACAACTTTGTGGATGACTTTGAGCTTAAAGAGATCCCCCTAGCTCATAAGACATTTACTTGGTCAAATCTCCAATCTAGACCCATTTGTTCTAAATTGGATAGATTCCTGTTCTCTCTGGATTGGGAAGTCCATTGGGGAACCTTGGCTTCTAGAGYTCTTYCAAGGGTGACYTYCGATYATTGGCCCATAGTGTTATGTAAGGAGGAAAGAAGGCGTGGAGGTCCTACCCCCTTTAGATTTGAAAAATGTGGTTACTCCACCCAGGGTTTAACAACAAAGTGAGGGAGTGGTGGTTTGAGTGTAACCCATTGGTGGAATGGGAGGGGATGAAATTCCATAAGAAACTTCAATTTTTGAAAGCAAAAATTAAGGAGTGGAATTTGGTGGAATTTGGAAGGATAGAAAAAGAAAGGGAGATTTGCTGGATAAGATTGAAAGCCTCGACTCTAAAGAAGAAAGGGGAGAACTTGGAGAGGAAGACATTGAGCTCAGGAGAGATTTAAGAARAYAGTTAGAGGAYTRCYTGCACAAGGAGGAAATTAGYTKGAGGCAAAAATCTCGGTGTAAATGGGTGCAAGAGGGGGACAGAAACACTAGGTTTTTCCACTCTCTAGCAGAAGGCAGGAGAAGGGAGAACCTGATCTCCA